TTTTATATGTATATATATATATATTTGGAAAAAAATAAAAATTGAGTTAATCTATTATGTTATATATTTATTTACTCTTTTCCAAACAAAAACATTAATTAAATAAAATTAAATGAAACTATATAAAACAGCAGAACGTTGTTCTTTTTGATTAATAAACAAGTATGAATAAGTTCCACAAGATACCTGAGATAAGGTGGTGGCTTCTCTATAAATGTCTGAAATCTCAGACCATCAGCCACGAAAAGCAGCAGCCTTTTAGCTGGTGCTCCATTAGGCGCCGGTACAATTGGCATTCCTCTAATAATAGGTGAATGAAAGTTAACATCTAATACACCCCATAATAGAATTAAATGCATTATTAATCCCCACAGAGCAAACAGATAATTGTTGTCCATTTTGAGCCATTGTTTCTTGTGAAACTTTCCTGTTCTTTCAGATAATTCACTTTCTGCGATATCTAATTTTTTCCTTTTTATAAACATCTTTAATAATTTTAAAATTTGTAAGATTGAGATGTATTCGAAATATACAATTGTAAGATTGAGTTATACTCGAGATTTGATACAACAGAGTGTATGTCATACTACGTTAGCAGAAATATACTGACAAATCGATTTGAAATATCGAACGAAAGTATTAAATTTGTATTAGTCGCGCTTTGTACTCCATACATCTTACGTGGCTCTCTTTCTTTTTCTTTACATACGTGTACATACATATGCATATATATATATAGATATACAATATGCAGACATATGTATACATATATATATTATACAATTTCAATACAAATCCATAACTTACTGTCAATAACTTGCCGACTGTTAATATTTAGCATTATATAAAATATAAACAAATATAGTATTGGAAAAAGAATATATGATTTTTGAATAAAAAATAACGCTTATTTTTTTATTATATTTTTATTTTTTATTAAAAAAAAACTAAATTTTTAAAATGTTTAACATATATATAATTGATATGTTATTGATTGTCGGTAATTATCAACCTCCTTATTACCGACAAAAATTTTATTAAAACTGTAAATTATATTAAATATTACAATTATAAAGCTGTAATTTTATTTAAATATTTATCATTTATTGGCACAATAAGAAATAAATTTTATTGAATTTATAATATATACGTATTAATTATATAATGATAATGATGTAATAAAAAAAGAGATTGTAATATAAATTTTTCTGTTATTAATTTTATTATCACACATATCTACATTTAAAAATTATTTATGTATACATAGACGCGCAGAAATATTTATTTTTACAGAAAAAGTGTATCTAAATCTTAACTCAGGTCTAACACGTGTTCCGCAATCCAAAAAGATTGCAATACACAATGTAGAACAAAAGTTTGTTATGTACAGCTCAATGTTACGAATGCATATTATTTTAATGCAGTTTGCCAATGGCAAACATCTATATTTTCAAATGCCTATCACATACGTTTCAAAAAAGAGATATAAAATATTGCTTAACTAAGCTTATCTCCTTTCAATTCTTTGTTATAATACACTATAGCACGCTCTATCAATGATGTGTTCTCACTTCCTGGATTTGCTTCCGTTGAATTTTTGTTATTTTTATTACAATTTTTTCTCATGTTGTCTTCTAGATTATTACTACTATTATTTATTGGCTGTGAAATCAACTCAGGTAACTTATGCTTCGTATGTTTTGCTAATTCACGAATTGCACTCTGCAAATAGTGAATTTGTGCTTCTTGTTGCAATGAAACATTATATAACTCTTGAATGTCATCCGTAAACTTCTTTATTTGCATCTGACGGATTTCCTCTTTGTTTGCCTCTTTTGTGACTTGCCTGTTGTACTCCAATATCACACATGCTCCAGCTACACCAAAGATAATCAACTCGCCCATTAGACTAGCACCCAATTCAATTGCCATTGTCTCGTTCAACTTGGCAACCTTCGTAGGCTTACCCAAATTCATGACATACATTTTTGCTTTTACTTCTGCCCAATGATAAACTATAAATATACAAAACAAAATTATACATTTTATAACAGTATAGGTTATATCTTACAATAACTTGTGTATTATGAGAAACATAGAAGTATACTCACATTGAGCAGGTGGTATGATGAAGTAAGTTCTGAAAATAGAATGACTCTTTGCTTGATTGACAAGAAATTTGGCTAAAGGTTTACTGATCTGTTTGACAAATAGTACACCCAATTTAAGGGCTGGAAATACTCCGACTGGCATCTTTACCGATTAATGTTACAGTACCTTCTCATTTGTTTTTCAATATTCTAAAAATTTTTGCTATATATATAATGTAATAATGTATATGTAATACATAAAATCATAGACTCGTTAGTTTTTAATGAAAAAAATGTATTAAATGATATACAAAATATAATAGATTATTCAGCGATCTCATTAGTCTCATGTCATACCTTGATTATTTATTTCAGAATATGTTAATGTGATGGTATCACAACTATCATAAGTGATACAACTGATATCATGACAGAGATACGTTGTTGCAAAGATATATATTTTGCAAAAATATATATTTTGATATATTTTTCCGTCAACAGATGTCTTTCATACTGAACGCAAACTCCATCATCACTGTGGATCCCCGTGAACGATAACAGATCCCTTTCAAGGCAAGGTTAATCAGCAAATAACGGTATAAACATGATGTAAGAATACAAGGTGTATCATTGCATATAATAGCTACAGCAATACTGGAAACAACCAATCAGATTTTGGCCTTCATGTGCTTTTCTGCGTATAATAGCACTGGTATATTAGAATAGCCATTGGCTGCGTTCAGCGGGCTTACCAATGCGCTCGCTATTATTGGTATATTCTTTTAGATCCAATCAGCATTTTAAATCTGTAAGAATACATTAATAGCAGTATCATAAAGGAAGGATTACGGCTGCGGTCAAAGTCTCACTACAATGCTTTGTAATAAAAAAAGATAATATAAAAAATAGAAATAGATATTTAAAGTAACAAATAAATAATAAAGTACATATATGCATATAATAATATTATAAAATTATTATCTCAATATTATATATAATATAAAAATTATTAATATTAATAATTATTATCAAATTGTTATAAAATTAT